CTTTGTGTGTGCTGGTTCATTTTGGTTCTTGTTTCCTTAAAAAAAAAAAATTTGCTGGAGCACTGGACTCCCCTGAGGATTTTAGTTTCTCCCCTAAAGCATTTAAATGAGCACTTTTTAGTCAAGTTGGTGTGTGATGAGCCAGCTGATAACAAGGTGCATCATGGAAGCACAGAGAGCTGGRGGTTCACGGGCTGACACCAGGCTCCTGCTGTGCCTAAGCTAAGTCTGCTTTTCGATGRGTAAGTGAGAGCTTCAGCTATTGCTGCTTTCCTCTTCCCTGTTTAGTTTGACTGCACAAACACCCTGAATGATCAGATCCTGGAGAATGTCACGGTGCAGATGGAGCCAACAGAGGGGTATGAGGTCATTGGYTATGTACCTGCCAAAACCCTGGTGTACAACCAGCCGGGTACCTGCTACACGCTGGTGGCACTGTCTGAAGAGGATCCTACAGCAGGTAAACAGTCTGCACTCTTTTTTCCTGTATTGCTTATCCCCGCACATTCTACCTTGCATCCCAGCCAGATATTTATAGCTTGTGAGTGGGTGCAGCCYTGAGTGATGCTGAGCATGACTTGTTTTTGTTGTTTTTGGGGCTGTCAAGCCTACCTTCTCTTCTGCTGGTTCCCTTGTTCTGTAGTACTGCCAAGATGGGCTATGAGAACTGGCAGATGAGTTGTGTTTTATGCACCCTGGCATGTCCTTCAGCCTTTCTTTGTTTAGATGTGGGGAGGCTGGTGCTTGTAAAGTGCYGTGAGTACCCAGATGCTCTGCATAGCCAAGGGGTATTTCAGAYAAACCGCTAGAATTTTGAGGATGTCTGTTTGAACTGAACATCTCCCTCCCTGTTTGCCACTATCCAGAACATGAACTAGGCTTTACCTGTGCTTTGGTCTCCCTGCTCTGTGCTCTGGAACTGCTCTCCTGTTGTGTCGCTGCTATTCACTCAGCAATACCCATCTTCTAGGGATGAGTCATCGCTTCCTCTCCCAGCCGAGTGGTATTAATGAGCTACAGCACTGCAGTGCAAGGGGCTTTCATTTCAGAGGGGCATGAACTGCTCCCTAGATGTGGGTCTTACTGCTTCACAAGGTGCTGGTGGGACATGTTTCATTAGTATTCCCAACACAATGTGAGGTTCATTAGTAATAGCACTTGATCTGAGGATTATGGTCTTGTACAACCATAATGAGCATGTCTTTATCATTGTTTGCTTAATATTACAAATAAATAGCTTATCCTTGAGAGACAGAAACTGTTGGAGAGCYCTCTCTAGGTCAGTGGCTAAGCCTGTGCTGCTGACAGGGAGASCGTGGCTGTCCCAAAACTCCCAGCYACGTTTTACTGCAAGGTCATGGTGGTAATGAGAGCTTTGCCTTTGCCTCCCTRTTCCAGTGGCCTGCACGTTCAGCTGCATGATGAAGTTCACTGTCAAGGACTGTGATCCCAACACGGGTGAGACRGATGACGAGGGTTATGAAGATGAGTATGTGGTAAGGAGCTGTGATAAGGGCAAGTATCTGATCACAGAAACTGCTGTCATTTTGTGGGGTTTTGTGATCTGAACTCAGATCCCGGCAAGCAGTGATGTGACCACTGACACTGAAGTGGGCAGCATCATGTAGAGGGAGCTCTTGCTGTCTCTGGTGCAGATGGGAGTGTGCAGAGCTTGCTTTGTTCTCACTTGGGAGTGTTGTCCTGTTGCTCTGTAGATGGATACCTGACTGTGCAGGATACATAGGTTTTGGGAGGCTATGGTGCATCCTCCAGGTTTGGCTGACTGTGCCCCATGGGCTGCAGCAATGGCATACTCAGGGTTGTGGATACAGAGGGCTGTTGGGCATCTTCTCCATGAGTTGCTCCTGTGGTGGCATGGTTAAATGTCTAGAGGCTTGCCTGGCACAGGAAAGTTGCTATCCTTGTTCTGGGGAGGGTGGAGTTCTTCCCTCCCCAGCACTGACACTGCTGAGAGCAGCGGTGCTGCAGAAGCACCTCTCTTCCTTGGAGAGGAAGGGATGTTCACAGCCTCAGCTTGGCCCGTTAGCTCCAGAGACTGTTTTCTATGCGTTGCCTGTCACTGCTGTGAATCTCTTTAGAGGCACTGCTGTGCAGTGAGTCACTGTCTTTCCAGAAGGAGTGGGGAGGGTTTTTCTCAATGGAGCATGCAAGGTTAACCCTTCTCTCAGCTTCCTACCAGTCACCAAGGCATTTGAGTGATACTTAAACAAATTTTTCCATGTGTTTCAACTAGAGTCAGGAGGAGATTTTTTCCTGCAGCAAATGCAGGCTGGTGTCTCCTGCAGGGCACTTCCTGCCCTTCAATACATGCTCTGGAGGGACAAGCCTGRTTCTGCCTTGCACAGGTGCAGTCACAGCAGCAGCTCAGCTACCCTGGTGGCAGTGTTAGGTGATCACGTGTGTCTGGCAGTATATCACTTTACCAGCCTACTAAATTATAAGCCAGAAAGGCAAAACACAAACTTATATGCATTTCAAGAAAGCAAATGCTTAAATAGCTATTTCTAAACTTTTGTTTTCCCCTCTGTTTTGGCCATTTGTCCAGTGCTTTGATCTCTCTCAGGGAGAGAGATCAAAGCACAGCAAGGGCTGTGCTCAGAGCAGGAACCTAGTTTGTAAGTCCTGGAAATGGCATCACAGTGCCGTTCTCAGGCCTAGCAGTTGCTCAGTAGCAAACCAGAAGCAGAAGTGGAGGCAGTCTCCTGCATTCACCTGATCTCAGGGAATCCAGTCTAAAGTCCACTCTAAGGAGAACAACCACATTTCACTTGAACTTCTTCTACCACCAGCTTGAAGACCTGGAGGTAACAGTGGCTGATCACATCCAGCGAGTTCTGAAGCCAAACTTTGGAGCAGCCTGGGATGAAGTGGGTGATGAGTTTGAAAAGGAAGAGACCTTTACTTTATCTGCTATTAAAACCCTTGAAGGTAAGGAAGTGTGTGTGAGCACAGCAGAGCTCTTGTTTTTCTTCCAGCAGTCAGAGTCCAGAGGCCCAGTCTGGCTCACTTTAGATCTGTCACAGAAAGGCTAATGTGGCAAAACCCTTCACAAGCTTCACACCACAGCTTTAAAATAGGAAGCTGCAGTTACAGTGATATGTTAGTTCAGGTTTCCAAAAAACTAATGGGACCAGTGGAGACCAGGCTGGATTGTGGAGGCAAGAGAATAAATATCTTGCTTTCCTCTCACACTTTACCTGTCCAAGCAGACCATAGTTCAGTTATGAACTCCCACCATTCTTCTTGAGACTAGTAAGAAAAAATAAAGGCAGCAGAAGACATGAGGTTGGTGGGCAGGCTGGTGGGGTAAGYTCTCTTTCATCAGGTATTAAAGCAYCCTTCTGTTTTTACTCAGAAGCCTGTGAAAACTCAGTCCTTTCRATGCCTTAGCAGGATGTCCTGCAGCCATCTCTGTGCTCCCTTGAACAGCCCCTTGGGGTTTGAAATACTCTCCCTGTGGCCTTTTCATATTTCTCCTCAAGACCTGTGTTCTGTAAGACATGTCCTCCTTTTCCATGTCTCAACAGAAGTAAGCAGGCTGTCAGGGCTGTGCAGTCAGTGCAGCCAGCTGCACTCTCCTTCTGCCCTTGTCTGACTCATTCACCCTCTTCTCTCTCTTGTAAATTTTGCTGCATCRGATAACAGAACTCTCCCATGGTGGTGGGTTTTTTGTGTGTTGTCTTTGCTGTCCTTGTGGCCTCCAAARCCACCGATGCTGTGYCCSTCAAGACRAGGAACATGATCTCTAATGYGTAGGAAGGGCTTGAGTCACCTTTAGGTGCTCTTTAATGTGCCCCTGGTAAGATATCTGACACACAGCCCATTTTATGCATTTTTTCTAACAGAGGCAGTGAGCAACATTGTGAAGTTCCTGGGGATGCAGCCCTGTGAGCGGTCAGATAAAGTGCCAGATAACAAGAACTCTCACACACTGTACCTGGCAGGTGAGCTGTGGGGTTAGGTCTCTGCTTCAGGATCCGCTCTGGGAGGTCACACAGAGCTGCCTCTTGAAAATCRGGGCATGAATTTCTGATGGAGCCCACTGTGCTCTGTGTTGGATTTAGAGGCTTGTTCCTGCCATGATTTCTGTCTCTGCAGTGCAGAACAAGTGGTGTTGGGATGAGGGAGGGTGCTGTAGTGGTGGAGGTGTTGGGATCAGCCCCAAGCTCAGCTGGGTGGAATTTGCTATCTTTGTGATCTGTGGCATCCTTGTTTGGAGGGAGTCTGGTGTGGGAAAGACAGCAACCTTATCCAGCAGAACAGATGAGTACTGGAGCTCTTAGACATGCCTGGATCTCTTCTCAGCTGGAGTTTATTTTACACTTTGCTTTCGTGGGTTTTACAGTAGCAGGAGTCCCAGGTATGTAACAATGAATAGGAACTGAGCTGCTTTAGAGTCTCTCCTGGTCCAGTGGTGTGATTTGTTTTTTCCTGTAGGAAACCTGCCTGTACCAAGCAGTAGTGTTCATCTTCGGGCTTGCAGGGGGAGAGCAGCCTGCAATGTGCTCACCYCTTCCTCCCCCTCTCTTTTCCAGGTGTGTTCCGGGGTGGCCATGACCTCCTGGTGCGGTCTCGTCTTGTCCTCACTGACACGGTGACGATGCAGGTCACGGCCCGCAGCGCAGAGGAGCTCCCCGTGGATGTGATCATGGCCTCCGTCGGATAAACCCCCCCTTTCCAGGACTGTCCTGACTCCGAGTCCCCGCGGGCAGTGCTTCWTTCTCTGGCAGCAGAATAGGGGTCACGGTCACTACCGCAGCTTTTGTGTTCTCTACAGTACCGCTGTACTTGGGGCTCTGTCTATAAAATCACCATGTTTATAAGCTCTGCCTACGCCGCGCTTTGTCCCCGCACCGGCGCGTCCTGACCGCCGCTCCCTGTCCTCGTCCCGCTGTCGTTCCAATAAAGCCRTGTTGTGTCTCTTCCTGGCTGTGTCGGGGGCGGGACCGGCGTTTCCGCGGCGCGGGCCGGCCCTGCCCCCGGCCGCAGCCCCTCCCCGCGGGAGGGCGGGCAGCAGCGGCGCTCGGTGCCCCGCAGAGCCGGCGGGATGTGCGGGCGCACCGCCTGCTCCCTGGCCGCCGACAACCTCCGCCGGGCCTGCGCCTACCGCGACCGCCGGGGCCAGCAGCGGCAGCCCGAGTGGGTGCGGGGGGACCGCTACCAGCCCTCCTACAACAAGGGCCCGCAGTCCAACAGCCCCGTGCTGCTCTCCCGCCGCCACCTCCACCAGGTACCTCCTCCGTCCCTTGGACCGGCCACACGGGGGGCAGGGCCGCATCCCCCTCAGCGGGGAGCGGGTGCTGGATATCCTGGCTCGAATCGGAGTGGGGGTAAGGAGGCCGTGCCTCCCGAGGGGTGTGGGACTCGGTCTGAAAGGCCGTGGTTTGTTTGGTTTCGCTTTGCTGTACGTGGCAGGTATTGAATTTTCTGATTGCAAAACGTCGCTTCTTGTTAATATTTACATGTTCGRAAGGAGGAGGGGAATCGGTACCGTGTTTCCAGCACAGTGTTTATGTTTTCTGCAAAAATGTGTATAGAAGTGCTTAACCTTGGTAGAGTTTTTTCCCAAATGCCTGTAATTGCTCTGCTGGTTTTAATCGGCTTACCTGAGGCTTTTTCCTCTTTTTTTAATTTCATAACACTGCTGCATGTGTCCAGTCACATTGGTAGTAGGGGAGAGTAGAGAGAAAAAAAAAATCTCAGCTCCGGAACAGTAGAGTAGCTGTGCACCTGTGGTGACCGTTGTTCGGCTAATTTAAACCTCCCTCGGATAACCTGGACGGCCAGCGGCTGTTGGTGCTGCTCGTTTGGTTCCACCCAGGAGGGTGCCCGGCCAACTGCTGCTCTTTGGTGTTCAGCGGGGTGAAACGGGGTGTGCTCAGTCGGAACTCACCAGAATGGACCCGCTCTCCTCTCCCTCCCCTGGTGGGGCAGCTGCACTTTGCAGCCGTTACTGGCACAGGTGCTCAGGTGGGACCCTCGGTGGGACCGCTCACGAGTGCTGTGGGCAATGCCATCAGGCATCCCTCATGCACTCCTCTCCTGCTTTGGGGGTGCCATATCACCCCATAATAGGCAATGGAGCTGATGGAGCAGAGGAATATGGGGCTGGGGGTGTGGTACATGTCACAGGCATGTCACACTATTCAAGTTGTTGGGATGCTGGTGCAGTGTAGAGTGTCCCTTTTTGCCACTCCTGCCCTAAGGGAGACTCTGAAAGACTTGACAGAYCTGGGCACTTACACACCCCTACATACACTCACCCACAGTGTATATGTGTGTCTGTCTACTGCAGTCCTTTGGGAGCAAATGGCCCAGCAGGCGCTGCTGGGGCCGACAGCTGTGGTCAGAAAGTGACAGTGAATGGGGAGAATCGAAAGCCACAAATTGTTTCCATTGTCCGAAGGCAGGTAATATGCAAAGCACAAGCAGTGAAAGTGCACCAGGTCAGCAGAAATCACATTATTAAAATGMAAGTGAGATGTTTACCCCCTTGGGATGTTTGCTGTCACCAAGGGAGGTTTTGAGGACTTTCGCACCAGCCTGACATGGCTGTTTATTCAAGAGCTGGGGAGTTTGTGGCTCCAGCCATTTCTACTAAAAAGAACTGTGTTAATACTTGCAAAGAGTTGGTGGRTGAGCCTCACTGAGACAGTTCTTTTTTCTGCAAAATATTAATGTGCTTTCTGCTGAAGAATAATTCCTACAGGAGCGCTGTTAAGAATATGCAAAGGGTTATAATTAGTGATTATTTCTGCATGGCTTGTGAGGGAGGGGCAGGGAGCTCCAGCTTGTCTCTTGGTACAGATCTGGCCAGATTCCCTCTTTTAGGGGAAAAGCCACTTCTACGGGACTTCCTAAAGCACCTCTCTCCAGCTGTGGGGATGCYTGTGGTCTCTGTGACGTGGCTCTGACCTGAGGCATTCCTCTGTCTCATTCAAAAGGATGCTGACTCCTCTGAGAGGGTCCTCATGGACATGCGCTGGGGCCTGGTGCCCTCCTGGTTCAAACAGGACAACCCTTCCAAACTSCAGTTCAACACCTCCAACTGCCGCAGTGACACCATGCTGAGCAAGTCCTCCTACAAGGTGAGCTGCTGCCAGCTTTGTGTGCTGCTTGAMGAGACCTTGTAGTCTGCAAAACCAGGCTGGAATACCTCCTGGGGGAGTGCTGGTCACCACTTAGCACTGCACAGGAGAGCAAGTCCCTGCACTGCAAAACTGGGGGATTTCATTAAAACAGAAGAACTGAAAAGGCAGTTGCTGGTAAAGCTCATGATAGCACTAGTGGTGGCATTTATGCATCCCAGGGGCAATTTGGGAAAGCCCTGGGAGGGCTGGATGGTCACGGAAACCCTGTCTGCTGTTGCAGGCTGCCTGAGGCTGCTGTTCACTGCTCACTTGTGCTGTCTCTCAACAGAGTGCTCTCCTCAAGGGCAAGCGCTGCGTGGTCCTGGCTGATGGCTTCTACGAGTGGCAGCAGCAGAGTGGGGGGAAGCAGCCRTACTTCATTTACTTCCCCCAGACCAAGGATGCCATGGTACGRGGAACCTCGCTGTGTCTGAGCACTYKCACYCAGCTCTGGGCCCCYGCTCCCTCCAGCTGCCCTGGAAAAAGCCCATTTTGCTCCTGCTGTGTCTGTTTCCCAGTAGGGCTGTGTTCTGTGGTGGACTGGGCACTCTGTCATCCCTCTGTGGCTGGCGGTCCCCACAGCTKCGGTCTCCAGGCTGTAGAAGGTGACACAGCGTCCCCACCGTCACGGTCACTGCTCCCCACGTGCCGGTTATTTGCATGAGTGGGCAATGTGGCTCACAGGGGACTAGGATGGGAGTTTCACTACCTCTTTCTTTTGGCTGAAGCAGGGGTTGGGATGTTCAGAAGGGGAGAACGCTGGCTTGCCTGTGGGAAGATGAGGGTGGTACCTCTCCTGGTGGAAATCAGTGAAAGACTCCTGGAAAGCCACAGATTAGTTCCATTGATGACTCAGATTGGAGTCACTGAACTGCCTCAGCACTGGCAAATCTGTGTTGCTTTGGTTGTCCATGGGCCAGCACTGACCAGCATGATGGGACCTCTCTCCTGCAGGACAAGGGGACAGAGGGAGATGAGGAATGGAAAGGATGGAGGTTGCTCACCATGGCTGGGATTTTTGACTGCTGGGAGCCACCAGCAGGAGGAGAAACGCTGTACACTTACACCATCATCACCGTGGATGCSTCCAAAGATGTGAGCTTCATCCATCACAGGTAAGTGAGAGCAGGCAAGGGGATTGCAGAGTGGATGGGGGTGAGGGAGGAGAACTGCACAGTTAGAACCAGTCTGGCAGCGTGCAGTCACAGAGTGCAGCTCCTCCTCCTGTCCTTGGAGAAAAGTGCTCCAGCATTACTGACTCATTTCGGGTCACCAGCTGGTGCCCTTTCCATAAATCACTATCTTTTGTGGCCCATGGGTGGCAGTTGGAGTTGGATCACTTTCTGGAATTGGTCTCTCTGCCTGCCCAGGGCCTGGCAGTCAATCCCCTGCCTTTTCCAACAAATCAGCTACCTGGTGAAGTGAATGTGCCCTCTGCCTTGTGGAGGAGCATCCTGCTGCTTCAGTTTTCCCTGTTTCCCCCGAGATGCCAGCTCCTTGCTATCTTACACATCTGGCTTTTGCCACCACGCTCTGCCTTATCAATGCTGAGCCTTGGCTCCAACTGTCTTATCCCTTAGGATGCCAGCCATCCTGGATGGGGATGAAGCCATCAGGAAATGGCTGGACTATGCTGAAGTGCCAACCCAAGAAGCCGTTAAGCTCATCCAGCCCACAGAGAACATTGTTTTCCACCCAGTGTCCACCTTTGTTAACAACATCCGCAACAATACACCCGAGTGTGTTGCACCYATTGAGCTGGGAGCCAAGAAGGTGGGTGCTGGTGGGGGCTGGGCAGCAGGGAGTGCAGTCACAATGTCCCTGAGCAGGGTCAGAGCTGTCGGGMTGCAGGAGGGGTGGCAGTAGGCAGTGTCTGCAGGGCATGCCTGTGCTTGATTCTGGAGTGCCAAGCCCTGGACAGATTCCCTTCCCTCTGCTTCCAGAAATAAACTGTCAGATCATGCCAGGATTTTGCTGCCAAATGAGGCAAATTCTATGTGAAATGGGTCTTGGAACAAGSCTGTTCTCAGCAGTCTGGGGAACCTCCCACAGATGTGCCTGATTGCAGGGAGGGCTCCACCCTCCACATCCTGCTCTGGACCAGCTCTTGCAGCCTGCTGGCTGCTCTGCGCTGATCGTGCTTCTGACTTCTCTCACACTGTCTTTTGTCTCTCCAGGAGATCAAAGCCACCCCAAGCAACAAASTGATGCTGGGCTGGTTAAAAGGCTCCCAAGAGGGCTCTCCCCAGAAGAAAGAAAAGGATTTGCCCAAGTGGACAAGTCAGTTCATTAACAGCCCTTCACCCAAGAAAACCAGCGCAGATGTCCTGCAGCAGTGGCTGGGGAAGCAGGGACAGCCGGCTGCGAAGAAGCGCAAGGTTTAGGCACCAGCRGGGGTGGCTGGCCATCCCTTTAACCCCTGATTTTCCTAAGCAGAATGAGAAATGTTTGGGTTTTTTTGGAAGTCTTTGCCGATTGGTGTTGAGATTGGCCAAGCCTCTCAGGTATTGATCTGCTGCTCTAGGTGGTTGTCTCTGTTCTTTGTGTTTTGTTAAAGGTTGATATTTGTCTTTAAAGATTCTGGCTTTGTCTTGGGCTGATGGGAGTGAATATAACCTGTTGGCCTCCCTCCCTGCCAGTCATGCCAAATGAAGATAAAGCCCTGAGAACATCTCAGCCTGCCAGGGAGGAATAGCTTCTGCCTCCTGACTGTTCRTAGTTCATGTCTCCTTCTGTTTGGATTTCTCTTCCCTTTCTTTGGTATTAAACTGATACCTCTTTTCCACTTAATTCTACACTGATTCTGTACAAATTCCTTTCCAATACTCTTGCCCTGAAAAGAGAGCTGCAGTACAGTGGAACAAGYACTGAATATTATGAGGAAACCCCAGGCCAGGGAGATCTTCCAGATCCAYCCTTCTCTGCAGCAGCATTGCTATGTGCATCCATGGCTCCTAAACAGGGAGATGTTTAAGTGATGCCTGAGAGGACCTGGGCTTTGCCTGGGTTTCCCTGCAGCAGGGTGGAACCGGGTGTCTGTCACGTTGTTTGTACAATCATTTTGTTAATGGGATTTGAAGRCTTAGAGAGGATTTTCTTGATCTGGGAAGGGATGCACTCTGCCTTGTTCGAAAAGGTCAGTCATTAAAGCCCAGATAACCAAAGTGCCATTGCAGAGCAGCGTAAGGCTGTTGTTTTTGAGGTCACGGATTTTGTAAACAGAGCCAGATGTTACAGACCAAAAGCCTTACACGGTGAAATCCTTGCTGGAAATCAGTACTTCCTTTGTATTGGAAACAATAAAATGGGCTTTGCTGRCTGGCTGGGCCATGCCGTTTTCCGTGTCTCTGTTCATGTCCCTCTTGCCCACTGTAGCCCCGGTGCTCCTGCTTTGCAGGCAGAGCTTGTACCTCCTCTCCATCTGCTGAGGGAGAGACCACCTCCCAATTGCTGAGCTCTGATGGTACTGGCWGGGCCATGTTGCCGGAGCATTTCCATTTGCCAGTGGAAAATATTCCCTAGGGATTGATTCTGYAGCTCCTCTAGAATCATCTGTCCCTGGGGAGCTGCAGGGGTGGCTGCAGCTGAGGTTGTCCCTGAGGAAGATGGCAGAGCCAGGGCAGGAGCCACAGGATGGACACTGGGGAGGTGTCTTGGAACAGAATCTGCCTCTGAATCCCTCGCGTGCTACAGAGGCAGTTGAGCCCAGGTTTCCTGGCTTGTGGGAATCTGGGGTGGGATTAGGATTTCTATACAGAAAGCCTGTTGCTAGCTGRATCCTCATTGCTCTCAACATGACTTTAGGCAAGAGAACCACTGTATTAGCAGCTCCTGGAAGAATAGATTTTCAGGTGCTAGGACTGTCACCTTGATGTCTGTCCTTGCAGGAGCCACAACAGGAGGTTTCTCTCCCTGCCTGTTCATCRCTGTTCCAGGATGAGCTGCTCAGCTACCCCAACCTAGTCAGTGCTAACTGCAGATCAGCCTTTTCTAAAGGTCACCAGCTCATCTGAAATTCATTTCAGGTCTCCAGTTGCTGTGARGAGAGCGAAGATGCTGAGCACGAGTGGGGGGATGCTCAACTTTCCCYGCTCTGGAGAACATAATCCTTCCCCTGGGAATGCAGGGGCGATGCAAAGGCACAGGGTACAG